CACGTTTCAGCTCCATTCGTCGCAATCAGCTAGCTCTCAGCTTTCACATGTCCTAACTGTCACTTACTTCAACAGGTAGATCGCTATGAAGGTTTTGGTTCATACAACCGAAAGATTAACTATGACATCAGCATTGAACAGATTGTTACAATTATCAAGCGATCATCTCAGAGATGTGTATAAAATATAAATGTTATAATGCTGAATTATGATTGGGTAGCACTGGGCCGGCCTGGAGCATGGTGGGCGTCCTATGATGGGACGCAAATGAAGTACTGGGGCGGAGGCCAAGCCGGTAGCTTGAAATGCGCATGTGGAATGACCAAAAGTTCAGTGTGTCGATCCAAACCAAACTTGTAACTGCGATCAAAATAATAATATTTGGACAGAGGACAGTGGTTTTCTTACCGAGCTGGCGTTTGGAGATAATAGTACTGTCAATGGACACAACGAGATTGGCTACCACACTCTGGTAGCGGCTAGGGACTAGTGAGCAGTGCCATCAACTATTTTACATCCATATAATCATGTAGTGCTCAAAACTTGTAATAAACTGATAATAATTACACCTTATCATAGCTAGAAGTAGTACATGAGTTCTAAGTAGGTTTGCATTGTAATTTTGCTGAACTGAACACAGCGAGTATTTAACAATTATTCGCCGAAGGCGAGGTGATTATCGGGGAATATTCGCCGAGACGAAGTCGAGGTGAATATTCCCCGATAATCACCGAGCCTGAGGCGAATAATTGTTTTAGTATTTTTACACAAGCTTTCGTGTTTTTTGAGACTGAATTTATTTTAATTTCGCTTATTTCTTTGTCAGTAAACTTCCTTAAAAAACTCATTAATAATTCAGGAGCAAAACACAAAGAAAAATCATAAGCCTGTCGTGGTTTTATATGTGATAAAAAACCATGTTAATTTACATAAACTTTAGCTTTGATTTTTTCGGTTTAGACAAGGTTTATTTTAAAAATTACTTCGCCAATGAACTCGTATAAGATGAGTCGTTTTTTAAGCCATTTAAAGCACTTGTAGTCGTCTTTTATCACATATAAAACACTTCGCTACGCGTCGTGTTTAGTTATATGTGATAAAACACTCCTAGGCGTGCTTTAAATAGTACACAAAACGGGTAGCCGCCATTTTGAAAATTCACCTGTAGGTGAATATAACAGCTTATTACGTCAAATTTGACCAATCAACGTGTAGGATTTGTTATGTTCACTTGTGCAAAAATACTAAACGTCATTATTATATAGTAGAGCTAGGAGAGTGAGATACTGAAAAATACACTGAATGTACAATGCTTGGGACTATATATATTAAACAGAAAATTACACGGTGGCTTGAACTGTTGAAGTCTTGAAGATATGACTTTTATCTTCTCGTGTTATTTTACATATCTTCACTAATGAAGATATCCATCACGTGATTTTAATATTTATACAATTTTTTGCTTGGGACTATATAATAAACAGAACATTACACGGTGGCTTGAAGATGTGACTTTTATCTTTTCGTCATTTCGTGTTAAAAACAATATTTTACTCACTCGCTGCGCTCGTTCGTAAAATATTGTTTTCACCACTCGAAGATAAAAGTTATATCTTCGCGCCGCCGTGTAATATCCTCTATTTATATTCAGTTTAAAATTTAAGAAACACAATCAGTGCAAATAATATGATTAAAGGCACAGTTCAGCCTGTTGAACGATGGTTTTTAAGGCGCATTTCAGCCCTGTTAATTGAAAAAACTAACTAGGAAAATCAATTAAGCATAATTCAAAATCACCAATCTTAATGTTTTTAACATTTTAAAACATT